AGAGAGGAGAGAGAAAAGAGGAGAGAGGGAGGAGAGGAAAGAGGGAGAGGGGGAGGAGAGAGGAAGGGAGGGAGAGAGAGAGAGAGAGAGAGAGGGGGGGAGAGAGAGGGGGGGAGGGAGGGAGGGAGAGAAATATCAGCTTCGTCAACAGCCCAAAAGACATACCGTTGGGTTTTGTTTAGAAGGCACTTGAATAATTTATGTGCTGGTGTTGTTTTGCATTGCACATGTGTTTTTCCAGAAAAGCTGCACAATCTCATTTTTCCCTGAAATGAAAATTTGCTCATTCTCTGCTGTGGCTGTGCCTTTTCCCGTGCAGAAAGGAACTGTTCTGGTGTGAGCAAATCAAGCAGTCGATTTATGGGACCCACCAATAATTAGGTCTCTGGTTTTTTTTTTTTTTTCTTTTAAAAAAGGTTGCATGGAGCTGGCTAAGTGATCTTCTTCTTCCCGATCCCAGGCCAAGAACAGGCCACTTTTGTTAAAAAGGGAACAGGCTACAATATCAGGAGTGGGTGGCCCCGATTGAACACGGAAGCGATTCTTTTATTAGAAGTTACTAATTGACACACCTCCCCCCCCCCAAATGATATATAACAACCCCACAATTAATGAATGGGGGGTAAGGCAGCCGAAATAACGTGCCAGAGGCAGCGGGGGCTGCTTGCATTTCCGACTTGCCCATTTCCAAATCCTGTGCCAAGCATAAATTTGGTCACTACACAAGGAAGGCTTTGGAAAGGAGCGGTGTGGGGGCCTAGAGGTGGGGTTCTCGCCTCCCAATCCGGAGTCTGTGAGTTTGACCCTAGATGGAGACAGGCATTTCTCTCTCTTTGGGTGGACTGGGAATATACCCGAACAAAACACTGTATTGGCAACAGGAAGGGCATCCGGCCAGTAAAACACTCTTGCTAGCTCCACCCAGTTGCCCAGACTCTGACCCTCAAGGGATTATGGGGTCATTAAATGAAGAGGATTAGGAAGACTTTGGAAGAGTTCCGGGAAGATGGGAAAGGGGTACCGTTACCAACTCAGAAGCCCAGCGGGACTCCTTGAGCACGAGGACCAACCAGAGACCTTTGGGATCAAAGAATCCTTGACCAAAGTTTTCATTTCTGGCCATGGAGGTGAAGTCCCGGCACTCACCCTGTCACCTTTAATGCCCATGTCGCCTTTGAATCCCGGGAAGCCATCTTCGCCCTGCAGGAAGATCAGAGAGACCCTGTTAGGGTGCACCACTCTCCTGCCTACCAACCCCCCTCAACCTCTTCAACCCTCCTTCGCGGGGCACAGACTGCCAGCCCTTGCTGTGTGGGGCAGACGGATCCCTGCTTTTCCCACTCCGACAAGAGAGTTCCCATGTCAACATTCAGAGCCAAGGGTGGACAATTGTTTTCCCCACAGACTTCCAGTTCTCCCATTTGCAAATCCTGGCTTTTGTGGTTTCACTAAAATTCTGGGAAATCACAGTTGCCATAATCCCATGAGATCTCGTGCGCAAAATAAATAAATAAATAAATTCAAATCTTGCCAACGTTTAGTGAGGCCTCCCAATGTTTTAGTAAGTTCAGTCGCTGCTAGAAGTGCTTTAATTTGGGCAATAGCTGGCTTCTGACTTAGGGGGCTCTATCCAGATGGAATCATGTCCAGGGGGCCTTGTGATTGTCAGGAAAGGCAGGCAATTTCATGGGTGAGGCTTCTCTTGACCCAGAGAATATCTGAGGGTGCAGGTTTCCCAATGGGCTGGCTTCCAATCTTAGAATTACCAGCCAAAATAGCTGACGGGAAAGGAGCTGCCGTTGTAAGAAACACCCTGTGTAAAAATAAAGTTCCCCCAGGAAGCGGGTGGTGTGCAACTGTATTCAGGGGACGTGACATAATGCAGCATCCGAACCTCTCTGCTCTGAAGGGAATTGAAGGGAAGATGGATTGTATAGATCAGTGGTGGCTAACCTTTGGGGCCTCCAAATTTGCTTACAGCCAGGTTGTAAGAGCAGCTCTGAATGCCGCTGCTGGGCATTTTCTGGGCAGCCCGGAAGGTGCAAATCAAAGGCATCTCTTTCCAGAACTGAGCTCACAGCCTCCCAGTGCAAAGGAGACCAAGGAGAGTATTTTGGAACCAAACATGGGATGAGGCCTGGGGGTATGAGGGCGGGGGGACTCTGTTGGTTAGGAGCTTCCCTCAGGCCTCTGCACATCTTTAAGGGGTCGAGAGGGTTGCATTTTCTTCCGGGGAACTCCCTACATGAGGCATTGGAGACTTTTCAGCCCCTGAGCAACACTGTGACCCTCTCAGTACGGTGGCACAAAGGTGCGACAAGGGCATGAGAAGCCCCAGAAAGCCAGCTTCCACCTCTTTGTTCTTTAGCTTTGTACATTTCATTTTATTTTGCCCTGTTTCTCTTTGAACCTTTATTTTTAAAAAAAAGATCTTTATGCATATGCATATCCAAAAACATGCGTCTTTTTCCTAATGTATATGCAAGCCGTTTTCCCATGGAGAATGCGCTTTTTTTTTTTTTTTTTTGGTACTTTGTTTCCATAAATCTGGAACTGCGTTTTGGCAATCTACAAAATGAAGTTTAGAATTCCCCACGAGGCAAAGTTGAAGCATCATTCGAGCAGAGCCTGTCATGGGCCAACTAGGCTGCCTGGGCTTCAAGATTCTGCCCTTTCTGCAGGGATGAAAGCTACCGAGACGGAGGCAGGACCAGAAACCCGGTGGAATTCCTGCTTGTCGTGCAGCTGCAAACAGCCTGAACCTCACGGGGCAAATAGAGAACTTAGTGGAGGGAAAAGACGGGAATTCAAACAGAGGCCCACTCACCTTCTCGCCCTTCGTTCCTTTCAATCCCCGGATGCCGTCAGCGCCCTTAACCGCAAACACAACCACAAAAGGTGTTACTATCACCTGGAACATTGTGGGGGACCCTGAGATCGGGCAGGTTGTCTACTCCAGAATCTCTGCTAGAGAGGATGAGACCGTCACACGGAGGAGCCTGATCTGGAAATTGGGCAAAGGGGAAGCAGCCGAGTGGCACCAGCTGCCCAGCCCAGTTAATCCACCCAGCTTGGATTCCTCTCGGCCAGAGACAGATCCAGGTTGGCTGGTGTGCCCCACAAACACAGCTGGGTCAACTACTCTCTGCACTCTCCCTTCTGGAGCAGGGGTGTCAAACTCAAGGCCCGGGATCTGGCCGGGCAGAAGACTGGCCCACGGTGCAAAAGACAGCAAAAGACTGGCCCACGCTGGCCCTGACAGAAAGCTGCAGGAGGCCATCGCAGCCGAAAATGGAGCTTGGGAGCCCATTTCCACTGGCAAATTTCGCTTGGGCGACCACAGGTGCCCCCAACACAAGTGACCTTGAGCTGGCCATGCCCACCCGGTCACACCCACTCCCCCACCCCCAAGGTCAAACACAAACCCTGATGAGTCCCTCAATAAAATCGAGTTTGCCACCCCTGTTCTAGAGGTAGTATCTAGAGACCCTTTGTGGGGGAGCAGAAATTGGGGTGAGAGTAGAAGCCCTCCCTGTTTGGCCTTCCTGGGCACCAGAGAGAAGCTGCCCAATGGCGGCTCTTGCCCAGGCTGACCTGGCCTTCACGGAGCAACTTCTGCAGTGATCTCAAGGGGGTCTAAAAGTGAGAGGGTTGCGGGTTGGGGGTGAGGAGCCTCGCCTGCCTGTGGCCATCAAGAGGAAGCGCATGTGTGCAGTGAACAACGTACGATAATGTTTTCAGAAACCAGAACAGCCACCCTCCAAAGAAGACGGTGTCTAGTCTTCCGGGGCCCAAGAGGGTGGTCTTGGATGCAAAGGTGGTTGGATTTGGGTTGAAAATTAAGAGATAGAATGAGAGGAGTTTGGCAGAGAAGGCTTGCCAGCTGGGCAACGAATATGTTTCTCCTTGGCTTTAACTGGACTCTTGACCTCAAAGGAGACTGCTAGTCTTGGGTCAACATCCCCCTCCCAATCCATGCCTGGTTAGGGACTGTCCTTGGCTCAAGGGAATTGTCTGGTCTCTTTGCAGCCCAAGCCCAACTAGGTGAAGGAAGGTTGTGACTGGAGGGTGTGTGTGTGCGAGTGTGCGTGGTGCCTGCAGTGGTCTTAAAAGCAACAGGGAGGAATATGAGGGTGAAGGTTCATTCTCCAACCTTGTGGGCTGGTGGTTTATCCTATCTGCCGCCAGCCCCTCCCACAGCCGAATCAGAGGAGGAGGAGGAGGAGGAGGAGGAGGAGGAGGAGGAGGAGGAGG